TTTGTGCTATATAATTACATGTAAAAGGTTAGGGGAAAAGACGACTTGAATTGTTCAATGTGAGCTGCCTTTACATCTAGCTCAACCTTGCGTGGAGACTATAAATAAAGGATAAAAAAAAAGACTAGCTCAACCAAATACTATTTTAAAAAGACTTTGATTAGGCATGGGTATGGGCGTATAGCCGTGTAGAGCGATAAGGTTTTGGCTTGTTACGAACCTAATGATTTAATTAATGTGACTAGTTTCTCTCGTTAATTTTAGCTGTAACGTGCTTGCACATGGAGTGTTCAACTAACTATTTTGTTTTGGTTGAAGAATAGTTCAATGTTGACAAACAAAAATCAAATCGAAGCCAATACAATACAACAGTAGGTCATGTTGATACGTAAGTTCCACAATATATTTGTTAAACAGTAAAAGACTCGAAAATTCTCGTTTATTGATAACGTGTTCGGAAATGGGTTACAAACAGCTTATAAATAAGGAGAAATGAATGTAAAGGACATTGAGCCCGGAAGCTTATAAGCTGACGAACCTTGTGCTTCTCTGATTCAACGAGTAACAAGATCGGTGTTCTGAGACCAGAAACTGAATGACAGGTGGGTGTAACGAGGTCGGAAACTGAATGATAAGTACGTATTTTGAGGTCGAAACTTGGTGATAAGTGCTCTGTGATCGGGGTTAATACGGATTATGCAAGCCGTTTTCTAACGAACTTCCGTACGATTCTGGCGGAAAACGTACAAACAGAATTCTTTTCCCTTTTTGGGTAAGTTAGAGTCCTGAAAACCGTTGGTCTTCCAGATCCCTTGTACTCTCCAAAGGGTAATAACTGATGGATAATATAAGGTGGGGGACCCCTATTTACACTAGATGGAGGAGGTACATTAATGTAGGATTTCCCTTGAGACTTGAGTTGGCCTTTAATTCTGTCGGGCCGAGCTCGGCGAGATGGGTTCGTCGATTATAAGGCCCATGCCCAACATTAGCCCCCAGTCGACGAGCGCGTTGGTTGGTGGGTTCGTCCATGTGGTTCGGAGACCCATATTTCCTTCGGCTCATCATCTGCTCGCTTCTAATTGGCTCTTTTGAAGCGGTGTACGAATCTCAAGAGGCGACCTTTTGTCTTATGAGCTCGGTCTATTTAAGCGAGATCCGGACTTCCATTTCCTGTATTTGCTTTCTCGATCTCTCCGGACAAAGGTAATCTTCTCTCTAACCTCTTTCTCGATTTTTCTGCTCGGCTTCGGATTTCCCGGCAAGATCTTCAGGTACCCCTGGTCGATTATTCTTTTCTTCTAAGTCTGTTTTCTGGGTTTTTCGACTGTCTCTTCATCATGTCTTCCAATTCGAACGATCGTGAAGAATCTGACTCGGTTAACTCTGGCAATTCTCCGAGTCTCGAATATTCTCCTACGAAGGGAACTGAATCCCCTGGGGCTTCTTCTTCTGACCATCAACCGCTGATTCAGAAGAATCAGCGAGATCTGACCGCTAACCGGGGTGGAGTTGCTTCAAGCTCGGATCGACCTCCTTCGATAAGCTCTCGTGCTGTGTCGAGCTCACATCCTTCTCCGAGCATGGTTCTTCCTCGGGCGAGACACGGCCCTGGCAAGAGTTTGGCTCTCAGACCTAGCTCGCCTGATACTGGGTACTAGACCTCCCAGTTCGAGCTGGACGACCTTGGTGACTATGGTCGTCATCTAGGTCCTGGGCTCGCTTCTGATATCATTCTCGAGCGTCACGATGACGAGGGGACGAAATCTACTGCGAATACGCTCAATAATCTTCGGAGAGGGTATCACGTCCGAAGAGCAGCGATCGACCGTGGAATCCTCCTCCGGGGTATATGTGTCCTTTATTTACGAAGGTGGGCTCTGGTTCCCTCTTCTAAGGCATTTGGTCGAATACTGTGCTCGGAGGAAAATTGCGATGTCTCAGCTGATGATCGCATCCATCCGTAATCTGGTCGGGTTGATGGTAATGGCAGCCGAGCTCGGGCGAAAACTCTGCTACGGTGCCCTTGAGGATCTGACGAAGATCACTCGAAAAACGGCAAAAAGAGGTCGTTTCTATCTTGGCATGAAGAAATCCCTCATCGAGTGCTCCAAAGGAAATAAGACTGCCGAAAGAGGTCGTTTCTATCTTGTGAAGATCGATCAGGCCTCGGTCAAGAATCTGGACTGGGAAATCCGAGCCAGATAGAACATCGAGATCGGTATTTATTTTGCCGTTGTGTTTTTCTTGGATTGATCGGCACTGACGCCTGATCTGTTTTCTTTATTTTGCAATTCGTCATTGCGGATTTTGTTGTTTTACGAAGGGATTTACCGAACTGAGAGACAGATTGCTTTCGTTTGGACCTCAGTGGTGGCTGGATTTCCTGAGTCAGCGAATCCGTCGTGCTCTTCCTCGCATTCAATCAGGTGAGTTTCTCTTTCTTTCCACGCCTTGTTTTGACTCTGTCTTGTGGTGGTTACCTAAAGTTTGTGTTTGTTGTTTCAGATCGATATGATATCGAGCTTGCTTCGCTTAGACCTTCTCTTGCTCGATCTCAGCAGGAAAAGGGAGAGAAATCAAGAGAGCAGCGACGCAGGGAGGAAGAAGGGTAAGGCGGCTCAGAAGCTCCCAACTAACCACGGAGTTGGAAAGGGCCTGATGGTGAAGCCTTCTTCTGTCATTCATAACTACGTTGCCCGGACGAAGCAAATGG